GCTAATTTTTTCTAAATTTTTAGTTGTCTTGCTAATTTCTTTCTATTTATTGTAGAGACAGGGTCTTACTCTTGCTGAGGCTGGTCTCAAACTCCTGATCTCAAGCAGTCCTCCTACTTCCCAGAGTGCTAGGATTACAGATGTGAGCCACCATGCCCAGCCTGATTTTTCCTTAATATTTCAATTTCTTTAGTGACTTTTTCTTCCAAATCCTGGATTTTTTTTTGTGGTTTCTTTGTGTTAGGTATCCATTTTCTCTTGCACATCATTGAGTTTTCTTACAATCCAGATTCAAAATTCTTCTGTCATTTTAGTGTCCCGAATTTGGTGGCAATCCATTGCTAGAGAGCTGGTGTTCTCCTTTGGGGGTGTGTTTTCAGCTTGATCCTTCATACTTCCAGAGTTCTTTTGCTGATTCCTTCCCATCTGGAGCAGCTGTTGCTTCTTACCTTTGGATTTTGTTTAGATAATGACATGCCCAGTTTAGTCTCAGAGCCAGCCCAGTTCAGTCTCTGAACCAGTAGCTGGTGTTTGTGGGTGAGACTTGACTACACTCCATGTGATGAGTCAGTAAATGCAGTAAAAGGATGTACAAATTAACCTCCCTGTCAGTAGGTGGTGCTTGCTTGGAGGAGCAAGCTGCAATGTTGTTTTTGGGTCTTGTAACCAGCTCTCACTCCTCTGGAGAGGCACTCTAGTACCTCAGGTGGTGGGTGGGATCTTGGGACTTCCAGGTGTGTCCTTATTCTCCACCTCAGTGGGGCTGAGTTGGTGAGTGAGGCTAGGTGGGTGTGGGTTGGGTGGGCCTGTCCTCAAGCTACACAAATGCTGTTAGCAGGGATCGAAAGTCTGTTTTCTGTTTCTGGGCAAAGCTGCAAGGGAGGGGCTGAAATGACCCCACTCAGCCAAAAGGTCTGTGTGTGGGGGTGGTGCTGTCTGAGACCTGCAGTCTGGAGCCAGTCTCACTGCTTTCCACTCTCTCTGTTCCTCAGTTTTTCTTGGGCCTCTGCCAGTAGGCAGGACCTCAAGCCAGCAGATCTCCTCTGACTGTGATGAGAGCTGGGAGGTTCCCTGCTCAGGATCACAGCCTGAGCTGGGAGCATGGCTCTCCTGTAGGAGGAGGGTTGCCCCTTGAGCACGCTGCAGCTAGGACCCACTCTGATCTGCCCCTGAAGGCACACACACCTCAGTAGACTAGTTCACAAATATCCCTTCGGTGCCCCTGGGCAATGTGATCAAGACCTGAGTGTACAGGACCTGGCCTGCAGGTCTGTCTCTAGGGCCCTGGAGATCAATCCCTGACCCTGCCAGGGAGAAGAGTGTTGGTCTCAAGTCACCCACGGGGTGCCCAAGCTGGATCAATGTCTCTCCTCCTCAGGATTTGCCCTGCTCTGCTGGAGTCACCAGGCAAGCAGCACTTGTACATTGGTTATTCAGTTCATACAAGATAGCAATTGGGTAGTTGTGATGCCTCCTTGTCTCCCAGTGATAAACCCATGTGGCATTTTACAAAAGTGAATAGTCAAAAAGGGAGTTGGACAATACAAATGACAATACAGCAAAGAATTGAAGAGTGGCAACTCTGGAAATGAAATTAAATTAAATTTAAATGGAATCATAGAAGAAATGGCTGACCATAGGGATGTTGACACTCTTCCATTTAACAGACTGCAGATATGGAGCCAGAGGAACTTAGTAAAGTCAAATTTATTGACATAAATGAGAAAGGGGGCTGTGATATGATGAAAGGGATGGGGAAATGCAGAGAAAATCATACTGTCAAAAGAGCTATACATAGAAAGAACTCTTGGAGATAGTTCACAACATTGATAAAATATTGAAGCTGATTCAACTGTTGAACGGAGCACGACAATTCACCAAGGCATAAAACACATGCGTGCTCCATGTTCTACATTATGCAATGAAAAGAAGGCATGTGCTGGTCCAACTACCTTTGATAAGTTTTTTTTTTTTACAATGAAATAAAACACATTCATTCTTAAAGGAATAAAACACATTCATTCTCAATATTTTATTGTTTTAAAGTACAGTGTACTAAATAATTATTAGCTTTCATATAGTTTACTATGTATTTATAGAGAAGAGAACAAAGGAGTTTTTAATATTTTGACAAACATTTTTAAAGGTCATGGGACAATCCTATATTCTTCCATTGATTTTTAGCAACAACTTTGCATGGTTTCATCTTGCATGGTCACTTCTATGGCCTCACACTATCATGCAAAGCAGGAACGGTCTTTAAATTTCAGGGAATCTAACCAATATAGCATTCTCAATGTGTCATGAAAATGAGGTATTTTAGAATGTTGAAGCCATTTTCTGAGTTTACAAAACTCTCAATCTTGAAGGATTCTAAGTCAACAACAGACCTGGAACATACTATTAGTTCATTAAATCTTTAGAATATTATCCAAATATTAGAAACAAATTTTGGGCTTAAGTGCCTCCAAAGTCCTATAACTTCAAGATCCACTATAATTCAGTAAATATAATGAAGATAGGAAAATATGTCTATATTACATTTTATTGGGACTTAGTAAAGTATTTTCTTTTATTTTTAACTGTAAAAGTATTGTTTTAAACATTAAGAATACTTATGAATAAATACACAAAATAGTCAAGAGATAATTTAAATCATAGAAAAACATGGATGAAAAATTCACATACCGGTTGTAGAAATCATCTCTGTAGTAATCATAGTCAAAGACATAACCACTAAGGAGGGAAACAAAGAAATTAGTTGGTACTTGTTTTAATAACATTAATTTTGGTACCAATTTATAATGTTATAGCAATAAATTTATGTTTTTTAAAAATATTTATTTAAAATATATCAATGTCATTATATATCCAAAGGACTTTCCAAGATAATGTCCAATTTGATATAATATAATATAAAATTATCATTATATGTTGACAATATAGGGACTGATAACAGTTTATGTGGTGAAAGAATAAAAAATGAGATCAGGTAGCAAAACAAATATTTTTTAACACTTGCAATTAAATATGAATGAAGACTTTTTTCCCTCCCAGATAAGATGTAATCTAATTGTCCCTTCTTTCTAAGGGGATATAGTTATCACTTCTTCCTAAGGTATGTACAATGAGGCTAAACAATGAACAAAATGTATTGAAATAAGATAAATGGAAAAGTTTCATGAAACATTCATTATAGAAATGATAAATAGAAATGTGGTTTCCTCAGAAATTTAGCATTTTTTTTAATTCTAAAAATTGTTAATTTGATACTTTAGAAAAATTTAAAGATAAAAACCACCTTGGCTGAATCTTACCAACAACAACTTCATATTTTAGGGCATTTAAATTGGAATTAATAAATGCATTTCAATGATAAGATTATTATGACTAAGCTCTTTTAAGGAATATAGTAATATAATAAAAGTTGCCTCCATCCACGTGCACAGTTGAGTTTAGAAGGTATTTCATACGCATTTCAATTTTAGTCATCAAAACAACTCTGTTGGATAATGTAACTAGAAGAAACTACAGTGCAAAAGACTTAAGTAATTTGTTCAAATTCATATCCCCAGTGAGTTACAGAGCTGAGATTCGACAAGACTTCTGAACCCACATCTGGAGCTGTTTTCATGTCACCTTGCAACCCTACTTGATCTGGAAGAAATCTTAGTCTTATGAGGAGTGGAGTGTTTGTAATAAAAGGGAGTCATTTTTTGTGTCTATTCACTTATTTTTTATTGTGGTAAAATATACATAATATCAAAATTTCCATTCTTATCATTGTTAGTTATACAACTCATTAGCATTAAGTATATTCACAAAGTTTCACAAACATCACCAGTATCCATTTCAAGAACTTTTTCATCATCCCAAACAGAAACTTTGTACTCCATAAATAATAGCTTCCCATTCCTCGCACCTCCCACCCCCAGCTTTTGGTAATCTGGATTCTACTTTCTCTCTCTATGAATTTGCCTCTTCTATATACTTCACAAATCATATAATCATACAATATTTGCTCTGTCTAGCTTATTTCACTTAGTATAGTATTTTCAGGGTTCATTGATATTGTAGCACAATAATATTCCACGGGGTGTGGTGTGTGTGTGTGTGTGTGTGTGTGTGTGTGTGTATATCTCACACCCACATACCACTTTTTATCTATTAATCTGTTAATAGACATCTAAGCTATTTCTAAATTTTGGCTATTGTGAATATTGCTGCTATGAACATTGGTTTCAAAGGATCTGAGGCCCTGCTTTACTCTCTTTTGGGTCTATACTTAAAAATGGAATTTCTAGGTAATGTGATAATTCTATTAATATGTTTGACTTTTTGAGAAACCACTATATGATGGAAGAGTAATTTTATATTTCTGAATAAATTTCACAGACCTTTACTTTGTAACTATTCTCATGTTAGAAAAATTAAAAGAACCTTATAAAGAAGGGCTTGTTATTCTGGTTTTAAGGATAAATGTATTTTTATCTCCCACATTTCATTACTTACGGGGGGGACAAAAGCCTGAGGTAGCACACATAATCCATGAGGGTAAATTCTCCAGAGTTGCCTAATGGAACACATGGTGTCTGGGGTCAAGTACTGAAATGTAAAGTGGGAAACTACTCCCTGTGAGTGTCTGAATGGAAGACTGAGTACTGTCTGGCCAAAGCAATGCTGAACCCATCTATGCAAACCAAGAGGAAAATGAGTCCATTGCCTAAAGAGTAAGAATAAAAATAGCCACATTTGTTTGACAGTCACAGATTGCTAAAATAGTAATTGTTTATACTTTAATTTATATTGCTGATGTAGGCACAATTGTGACATTGAGTTGAGGGATTTTAAAGACAATCTATTGGCTACCATCAAATCCTAAGATACAAATGTCACCTCAAAACCTTCCTAATACAGCAGTACATATGCTTCTTTTATTGTGATTCACTTACTACTGCAGATAACAATGAGTATGGTGATACCTGCCAAACACTTTTACTGGGAAGTCTCAAGTTTAAAGTGATGCTACTCTTATATTTGTCATGGGTAATCATCATTCTATCCTATGCTTGATTATTTTGAACAATATGTTGGGAGAAGATAAACGTGTTTAATAGCATTCAGGTTTGGATAACACACGAATGAAGTTCTCAACAATCAAAGCAAAAAAATAATTGAAAAGAGTATACCATCTTAAGAGCTTTGTATAGACTTTGTTTATAAAACATGGTATTTGAGGAGGGAAATATTCTAGTTATTGAAGCTATACTCTTGGTGCTTTTATATGCATAATCTTATTTAACCCTAACAACAATCTATAAGATGTATAGGATTCTCTCAATTTTACAGGACACTGAGGTCTGGAGATGCTATATATCCAAGATAACACAGGTTAGTATTACAGTATAGCATAGTCATTCATCAAAATTTGATTAAGATCATGTGTGTCAGGGACTACACTAAGCACTTAGGTTAGAAGAAAAATAGATTCTTTTTTTTTTGCCTGAATCTTACAGTCCAGTGATGACCAAGATGGCCTTAAGGTTCTCTTCAGCTTGACAAAACTTTAGACAGGTTTCTTCCTGACTATAATCCCCTGACCCCTTTTTGTAGAGAATTTGCATTAGAAAACTTTCCATTATATATTCTTTCTCTCCTCCTTAGAGATGTAACTCTTCTCCCAGCATCTTGCCAATTTTACAACCCAGGAATGTCTTTCTTAAGGACCTGGGAACCATGCCTTTGAAATGTAATCTTCCAGGAAGATATCTCCCAGTGACTATGTAGGAGCCTGACTTAGATAAATACCAATGAGCAAACACAGATGCCCTAATTACATTGTGGAACATTTCTCCTGTTTCCACTAGCTTACTCCAGCTCTTAAAAACTCTCTCACCTTTTGTTCAGTGGAGTTTAATTCAATTTATGTCCCTTATTGCAATCATCTTGAATAAAGTCTTCTTTGCCTGTTTAATTTTTCTGGCATAATTTTTCTTTGACAGTGCTATAGACAGAAAGTAAGCTGATAAGCAAATGAATGATTTGGAAACAAATGAGGTAGGAAAAAAAAAAAGAAACAGAGAGGAAAGGACCATTTGAAGAGATTGGTGAGGACTAGACTTTCTGAGGAGACGATGTATAACTGAAAGCTCGAAAGACAAAAAACGTCCTACCAAGAGCTGGGGAAGAAAAGGGACAGACAGGGAAGCCCAAAGGCACAAGTCAGGAAAGATTTTGATAGATTTAATGAAGTAAGGTCAGTCCAGGGCTACTGCCATCACTCAGACAAGAAATAACAATGTCCCAGGCTACACTGCAGCAGAAAAGATGGAGAGGTGTGGACAGATTCAAGACAGGTTCTGGAGGTAGATGCACTAGAACTTATCACTGCTTTGGCTTGAGAAACTGGGGACATTGTATTATCCTTTGTTGAGCTGGGAAGATTGGGAGGAGGACATTCTAGAGGAAAATCTAGAGATTAGATTTGAATCTGATAGCATTCGGATGCTTGTGACATAGTCAAGAAACACTTTTGCAGTAACTGGGTACTAACTGATGGAGGGAAGCCCCAAAGACAAGGATGGCTGGAAAACTAAGCTCTGTGAGAGGTGGGAGAACACTGAGGATGATAAAGCAACAAAAAGGTGAGATCTTTGGGAGTCAGCGTAGACAGAGATTGAAGCCTGCTCCTGTGGATTTAATAGAACATAGAGGTCAAACGAGGAGGTGGAAACAGTGAAATAGGTCAGATGTGGGTAGGAGATAAACCTCAACACAAGGCAGCTCTTAGTGCAGACCCCAGCTTTCCACTGAATAGACATGACATTGAACCATCCATCTAATTGTCCTGAACCTCATCGGCAAAATGGGATTGTACAACGAACCACTTTACTGAGCAGTTTTCATAACATAGTAGTCACTTAGTAACTGGTTTTTATCCGTTTTCATAGAGCTGAGATTTAAACACAGGTTTATCTAAATCCAAAGTCTGTCGTTTTTTTCCTATTGTGTCATACTTCTTCAGACATTTGTTAATTTAAGTAATCTTAATAATCTTAACATTTTAGTACATACAATTCTATTTTTCCTGAGGTGTTACAGAGAGCAGTGTTTAGGTTTATGATCAAAATGATGAGAACATTTAAAGATGTATAAATTCGTTTTAATATTTACATATGTCCTCTCTCCCTTTTTACATTCCTTGAATCCCAAGCACCCTTTAGATCTTGTTTCCCATTTCACTTTCCTGGAAGTGTCTGGCAATCAGAAATGTAATAATAACAATCATAATTATAATGGTAATAAAATAATACTGAGCAGTTTTTAACTCCAATAAGCATATTCGAGCATTTGCTATGTACTAGCCATGGTGCTAGTCATATTAAATACATTAAATAGCTATTGATTGATGGAACAATCATTTTCAATACAATGAAAATTCTCAGTATTTTCAGATATAACCAAATAATCTCAGAAAGGGAATATGTGGTTAACCTGTTTTTATAATTTTTTCTGAGACATTTTATTTTATGTTATAATCTCAGACAGCAGAGTTTAACTGCAAAAAGAAAATACGACACCCTGACCAATTAAACAGGTGTTATTGATATAGATGACAGTAATTATTTCACTCATATGTTTTATACCTTTAGGAAGTATATCAATAATTTAACGGCCTTCTGGAAATTTAAAAGAGCACTAGAAAGAGAACTCATTTTTACTTTTTTTACTTGCTG